TGTGTGTGTGTGTGTGTGTGTGTATTTGTGTGTGTCCGCGTATTTCAACTCGGCACCTAAGCAAGCTCCAGCGTCAAAATCTTGCGAGTGGGTTCCCCGGACAAGTGCCGCTCCAAGACCGCGGCTCCAATCCTCAAGAACGTCTAGGCCCCGCGTACGAGCGCCTCAAATTTTTGGCGAGAAAATCGCTAACTTGGAAACCAGAAAAGCTAGAAAGCTGAAATTTTGGGATTACGTTCCCCGTCCATATAGAACTCAAAGATTTTAAATTCAGCCTCCAGGTGCGCGCGTTTCCCGCGTATAGCCCCGTGAGAGTTCCTGGCGCGAAAATCGCTAGCTCGGAAACTAAGAAACCTGGGAAGTTAAAACTTTCAGGAAATGTTCTTAACTCATCTACAACTTAAATTTATCAAATTCAGCCCCCCCCCCCTCCGTTTTGCATGATTATCAAGTACGGCCCCGTAAAGTTTTTTGGCGGGAAAATGGATAACTCCGGAACCAGGGAAGCTGGGAGGCTGAATCTTTCAGGAAATGTCCCCAACTCATCTACAACTTAAATTTATCAAATTCATCCCCCGTTATGCGTGTTTGCCACGTATGACACCGTGAAATTTTCTGGCTGGAATTTGGGTAACTCGGGAACTGAGGAAGCTGGGAACCTGGGATTTCAAGGGAATGTCCCCTGTCCAAGTATAGCGAGGGCAATTAACTTCCCGAAATTCGAGGGCCAGTATGCCAAAGGTTTTCTAGCTAGCGGAATTTCGAGTGATCTTATTACAGCACGAAACACTGCAAAAACGCATGATCGCACGGGCCCGCCCAGTGTGCGTCGCCAATGATTTAATTTCCCCCAATGCCGCACTTGACTACCCATTAACAAACTTGACTGGAAAGTTTCAGAGCTGTAGCTTGAGCAGATCTGCAGGACATACATAAATTAAGATTTGACCTCTCTTTGACGACCCCCTAGCAGAATTTGTGGCTGAAACCTGTTGCGGCTTCCATTTGATCATAAGTCGTCAGCTTATGAGAGCCGGAACAGTGCAGGGCTGATACTACAATATTATTATTTGATGAACTGAACTGAAACAAATTTCACGACTACGCAACAGGTATCTTCTTCAATTGCTTCAGCCGCCCGGTGCGCAACTTGCTAAGGACTGCTAGAGGTAAATGCACCAAAACATACTTTCTTTAAATTACCGGATAAAATCCAATAACCGGATGAAATTCAGGAGAAAGACGGCAAAGAAGTGATGATATTTTGATGAAAATAACATCATCAGTACAGCATCATTATTATCATTACCACTGTCACTGGGAGCATTAACACTACCGGCATCCCCATCATCGTGATGTATACTCGCTTCTCGCTTTTTAATACAAAAGTGCTGGTGGCCATCCAAGACATTGTGAGAATTATTATCGCATACAATACCGACCATCATCAAGCACGATATGATAATTGTTGCACTGTTTGTGAAACCCTACACTTTCGCAGTAGTCAAGTCACTCCTCAGGACTGCAGCGAAAGGTATGAGAAGGACGAGGACGAGAAGCGGAAGAGAAAAGGCGTAAGCGGATACAAGAGGAGTTAACCAACGCACGTTGGAGCTTCAGCAAACGACAGCGCAGGAAAGGATGAGAAAAAAGGAAGACAGCGAGGAAGGAAGGACTGGATCGAAAGGAGGAAGAACGAGGAAGAGGAACTAAGAGTATCGAAATGAAGAAAAAATGGGATGACGGAAAAGCTACCCTTTTGAAAACGACGGGCATCAGGAAGCCGTGTTTCGGTCATTCTTTTCGGGAGTTCGAAACAAAAATAATAATTCTTTTCGAGGATGTTTTGTGAATCAGCGTGCAAGTGCATTTTGGAGGACAGAAGCATCAAGGAATTCCCCAGAACTAGCAGTCTGTGAATTATGTGAACGAGCAATAGGTAAGTTCCTGCTTTCGCAAAGAGAAGACAGTGCGAAGGG